CCGGCCGCCGACTCCATCCGGCGGCATGAGGTGGACGCCGTGCTGAACAACCAGCGCGAGATTGTGCAGGCGGCCCGTGAGATCAAGTGAGTGAGCGCTGCCAGGCGGCCGTCGGTCGGCGTGGGGTTCGCGATCAGGTTGTACCGGGGCCGTGGGGAACTGTTCCTTGAGTCAAGTGCAGGAGGAACATGCAGCCTGGGTGATCATCTGGGTGTAGAGTCAAGGCTATGTTAGTGAAGATGCGCAATTTATAGCACCTTGTCTGAAATGAATGAGCGATGAGTTGATCGTGGAAAGAGCGTGGAGCATGAGGAGTGTTGGAGGTGCCGTGGACAATTGTTCCTACGTCAGTGTGATTCTCCACCCTGATCCAAAACATTGAAGGCCGGACTGCACCGGCGTCACCGAATCCTCGCGCCCGCTGTCACCCTACGCTCGTCCGCAGGAACTTTGTGGGGGAGATCAACCAGCGGTCACACACGATCCTGCAGAACCAGCAGAAGCCGGTGGGCACGGTGCAGCAGGCGGGTGGCGCCGGCGGCGCATTCGAGCAACAGAAGGTGGGGCGGCACGCTGACGTGGTGCGCTCGTGCGCCCGGTACTGCCAGCCACGCGGTCACGCAGGCACGCGAGGCACGCAGCATGTATTTTGCCTCCATTACGGGCTTGCAACCGATTTAACACGGCGGCGTGTGCCGGCGCGGTTCCATTTGGTCTTCCGAGACTTGGGGTGGCCATCGGGTGGCTGTGTTGAGGCCATCTGGTGGCCGTTGTTTGGCCGCCTGGTGGCATTTTAAAGAAACTTTGATTTTGTGGAAAAACAGCAGCATATCGCACGCAGTATAATCTTTGCATGTGTGGTGGAGCCTCCAGTCCTGGCCAGAGTATCAAAATTCAACATTGTTCTTCGGTGGAAAATGCTTACGGGACGATTCGGACTCAGGTTTTGGACATTCCTTATTTTTGGTCTCCCATTTATGGATAGATCGGAGTGTCCGCTGATTTTGGTCTCCCTCGTAGCTTTTGCAACTACAATTCGATCTCCATGACACCTTTTGCTGATGCGGTATTGAAACAATGATCTCAGCTTATATGTACAGACATAATAGCCCCTCTTCTACGTACGGACAGTGGTCCTTCTGTAGCGTTTACGTCACACACAAACAGAGCAGCCACAGCTTCTATGTATGGACACAGCGGTCCCTCTTTGGCGTTTTACGTCATACACAAACAGAGCAGTGATCAGCCAGACATGTGACGGACATGCTCAGGGAGGTGCAGGCTGGTCGTGTGGATGAAGTTCCCATAAGCCGCAGCATCTACACGACTCCGGTTAGCTGAGGCTTGATGATGTAGGTTCGATGGTCGCTGTGCCCTAAGTAGTTTGTTGGTAAGACCTTATTAGCACGGCGGCACGTTGATAAGATCTTATTAGCACGGCGGCAGAGCCCCCGAAATTTTAACAACCGATCTAGCGTCATTCGCAGAGGGGGGGGGGGGGGGCGGTAAGGGCGGGTTGGTGTCCAAACCCTCTGACTGGATAAATGCTTGGGATCAACGCCCACGCTAAGCGATGTTTGTATAATCCGCGTTCCCACCACCCGATTTTGAAGTGGTATGCCAACGGCGTTTCACGGTGAAAGCGTAACGAACCGCACTGCTCGGGTCGGTTTGTCGCGCCCTCTAACGTCATTTGACCTTTAGCGCGGCGGCCGTCACCGGCTGCACGCCATCGCAGTCAGGGGCAAATAGCGATCACTTCGAACGACTCGAAGCCACTCCGCCACGAGTGGGTGGAGCGGGAAGCCGGCCGTCTAACCTACCGAGCCTTTTGCACCGATGGATGCAGTTTATTGCCGTTGCCCCGGCTGGTAGATGTGTTCGCTCGCAGTTTTATGAGGTACGTAGTTTGGACATAATGGCGTGTTACCACCGACGGATTATTGAATCGACGATCCCTTCAATTAGGCCGAATTGCACGTGCATAGTCGTACGTCTCATCAGCGACGACCAAGTGGCATGAGCGTCGTGGGTCGAGCAGCCGGCGCGTTTCCCGTGCTGACATTACCACAGTGGAGGTGTAGCGGCGTTCCCTCAGCTGTTGGCTGTGGTCTCTCACCTGTGTAACGGCCTCCGTGCCCCGCCCAGGTGATGAACGAGCTGCGGGACGGCCTGAACATGGTGAAACGCGACATGAGTATCACGGCACAGCGACTGCAGCAGCAGCCGCCGCCGGCCTGTCCCTCCGGCGCCGGCGGCTGCGTCAGCGTCGGCGTGTTCGTCGGCGTCGTGCTCGTTCAGCTGGTGGTTATGCTGGGCTTCCTGACGTATAGGTGAGGGCCGGAGTATGCACGCATGCGCTGACGTCTGCGCGATGTCGGCCTTCGTGCGCGGCAGTCAGAGGCGTTTTCGCGATCGTCCAGAGAACACTGCCGTGTCGGATTGTAGTTTGATGGCCGTTTGTATTGGTCCGGGGTGAAATATGCAAGTTGGGAGCTGGGAAGGAAGACGCTTAGTAATTATCGACTGATCATTCGAGGAATTATTGTGTGGTATCTTGTGTTACTTGCCTTGTGTCTTGTATTCCCTCACTTTCGTTACGCACTAATCTCACTTGTTTTGAAAGTTCACAACGCTTCATTACAACGGTTCCATGGTATTTGTCTGCCTCAACTACTTCCGAACCTTATACTGAAGCCGTTTTTTCCGAGTCCACGGCACGTGCAAGTCTGCATGCAGTATGCTTTGTTACATTTGTCTGTTTTGCAGGGACAATAAGCAAGCGGCGGCAAAGAAATTCTACTAGAAACTGCGACCGTCTCGGCCGCCCGACTTCCAGCGTATGGGTCTATTTTTCTACGAGGTCCGCTTGTGTTTTGTTCCCATCCGCCGGGGAGGCCAGAGCGGCCCGCCGGCCGGTCTGTGCCCCCACTTCCAGCTCCCAGCCCCTCTCTCGTCTCCCAGTTACCGAACCGCCAGGCTTGCCTTGCTCTCGCCGGACCAATGTGCAATGCGTCTCCCGCTGACTGGAGCGGGACGTGTGCCCGGCGCCTGGCCGGCCGCCGCTAGCCGGGCCTGCGAGCTGGCTGCGGCCTGGCCGCGCTCCCAGGCTGGCGGCGGCCACCCGCCCCGCGTGATAGCTCTCCACTGGCCCCGCACACCGTTCATTCCGCCCGGCTCTCCGCGGTCGGCAGAGCCCGCAAGGACGCCGTTCGCGAGGCGCTGTCGTCTTACCCGTCGCGGTCTGCGCGCGCTGTCCTGCTGGAAGTGCAGCGGGCAGGGTGCAGCCCCTGGCCGGCGCGGTCCCGGTCGGCGTAGCCCCTGGCCAGCGCAGTCCCTGACAGGCGCAGTCCCTGGCCGGCGCAGTCCCTGGCCGGCGCGGTCCCTCGCCGACGCGGCCCCTGGCCGGTGCCGGCTACTGGCGATGGATTGTCGGCCGGGCGGCCAGCGGGCCACCGCAGCTTCCACTGCTGTTTTTATTCATGCTGTCGCGGGTGCCACTTTGGTAATTTTTACACGTCGGGGATATCAGGATTCAGGGTTTGTCATGCCGTATGATCGGAGTGCGGGCTGTTCGTTGCGCTGCGGCAATCAGAGTGTTTATTTTAGCGTTACGGAATGGTGGACATGCGCTCGCGAAAATGGATTTCTGGATCGATACTGCATGCCCTTTTTGGAAGTAAGTGTTGGATGTTGTTAATAAAGGTTTCATAGATCATTTTGCGTTTGGGAAGCATTTGTTTGCGGAGGGGAAGCCCTACGTACTGTGTCAGCTGGTTACAGAATGGCGTATCGTAGCTATGCAAACGAAACATTCCCGGATGTTAGGCGACGTAAAAAAACATCAGGTTGTCCGCGGCCTACTCAGATGTCCAAATATTTCTTGCAGCACCACACTACATGCAAGTGGAAACACTGCTGAATCAGCAACACGGGCTCCTATGCACATTCAGGCCCCAGAAACGAGCTGTGTGATTGTATGGGTGGTCGGCACACTGGACTCTATTGTGCGCAGCCCATGCTGGGCGCGCGAGCGTGTTTCACGGAATGCTGAACGCCATCGCTGTTCCGAGTTCGACACGGCTTCTGAAAGCGCTGATGGAACGGAAACCCACGACTGTTCACGAATCGAACGGAAACCCTACGACTGCCCATTGACCGAACGGAAGGCCCACGGCTGCCCACTGACCGAACGGAAGGCCCGCAACTGTTCACTAATCGAACGGACAGCCTACGACTGCCCACTGACCGAGAGGACGGCCCACGACTGCCCAGTGACCAAACGGACAGCCCATGGCTGCCCACTGAACGAACGAAAGACCCACGACTGCCCACTGCCCGGACGGATGGCCCACGACTGTCCACTGGCCGAACGAATAACCCATGACAGCCCACTGACCGAACGGATAGCCCATGACTGCCCACTGACCGAACGGAAGGTCCTCGGCTGCCGACTGACCGAATGGACAGCCCATGCCCTCCCACGGACCGAACGGAAGATCCATGACAGTCCACTGATCAAATGGAGGACCCACAGCTGTCCACTGATGGAATGGAGGACCCATGACTGCCCACTAATTGGATGGAGGGCCCACAACTGTCCACAAATCAAACGGAGGACGCACGGCTATCCACTAATTGAGCAGAGGGCCCACAACTGCCCGCTGATCGAACGGTGGGCCCACGACTGTCCGCTGATCGAACGGAGGACCAATGACTGCCCACGAATGGGGCTTCACGACTGCACACTGATATAACGAAGGGCCCACAACTGTCTACGAACGAGCGAACGACCCATGACTGTCTGCTGATCAAAAGGACGGCCCACAGCTGTCCACTAATCGAACGGAGAACCCATATCTGCCTAATGATAGAACGGAAATCCACGACCTCTCACTGATCGAGTGGAGGGTCCACGACTGAGCGATAATTGAACGGAGACCCACGACTGCCCGATAATTGAACGGAGACCCAGGACTTTTCACTGATCGAACGGAGGGCCACAACTGGCCACATCTCTGCCGGTTGGCCGCCGGAGGTTAACCGCTGTGATGTTTTTCATCGTGCCATCTCAGCCGCTGGAGAGTTATGTATACTTGGTCACAGTTCACTCGGCTCGAGCCGTCCTGTCATGGCCGTTAGCTCCACCATCCGTGCCTTAGCCACTCCAACTTCACCATTTGGCTGACGCTGCTCTGCCGCCCGTACGCTCATGCAGGCAGCTTGCGACGCAAAAGCTGTATGCACTTGTCCCGTTTGACCGCCATCTGAGCTTCAGTGGATAACGCCATTGGCGTCGGGGCTTCTGTGGATTTCGTAGCTTGTAAGGTGACATGTTGACGTGTTTGCATTGCATGTGATGCGTCGTAATTGAAACATCAGAATCCTGACATTCAGCTGTTCGCATCTACGCATCTTTATTTTTGTTGTTTAACCCATGAACGCCCACCATGCAAATAGATGTCTAAATCCACTGGTATTTTATGGTGCCGTCATATACATGCAAATGAACTGCCCGTAAAACATCATGTAACAAACCGAAAATGTCATAGTTCTCCGTACTATGAGGTCCTTGAACTAGCCCACCGCCATGATAGCACTGGGCGATTTGTGACTTCTCTTTCTCCCACTTCGTATGAATCAAGGACTGACGGTGGGCGTCAGCGTCCAATGATTTGCCCAAAGTTTATTTCAGCGGCAGGTCTTCATTCACAGCACAACATTACGTTTCACATCTCGGTACTCCAGGCGTGGTTTGAGCAGGTGACTAAGTAGCCTCTTCACGAGATCTTCCCGCGGGTCACGCCGCCTCGGTGCCCTGCTTTGCTCCGCAGAGTCGGCCCGTGGCGGCCCGGCGGGGGTGGCGCTCACCCCGCCGCGGAAAGTCGCTGAGCGTGGCCACGCACCGCCGCGGTGTCATGTATAATTCATGTCATAATATGTCATACGAATTAATTACATGTGCGGGCGGCGCGAGGGGAGTCGGGGAGAGGGAGACAATCAGAGAAGTGGGGCCGGAAGTGGGGAGCGGCGCCGGCGCGCGATGAGATGGGCCCGCCTGCCGCCCCGCCGCCGGCCAAATCGGCTCCCCTCGGCGGCGCGCACCGGCGACAAAGGCCCGGCCGCGGCGGCTCTGCTGATGTGGCGCGCGCGCGCGCCGAGCGGACCGCGGGCGATTTGGCGCGCCGGGGTAATGTCAGCGGACTAAACAAGCGTGGTTGTGTTGATTTGTGATGAGCCTATTGAGGCGCTGGCAAATGGGAGTGAAGTGTGTGTGTGTGTGTGTGTGTGTGTGTGCGTGCGTGCGTGCGTGCGTGCGTGCGTGCGTGCGTGCGTGCGTGCGTGCGTGCGTGCGTGCGTGCGTGCGTGCGTGCGTGCGTGTGTGTGTGTGTGTGTGTGTGTGTGTGTGTGTGTGTGTGTGTGTGTGTGTGTGTGTGTGTGTGTGTGTGTGTGTGTGTGTGTGTGTGTGTGTGTGTGTGTGTGTGTGTGTGTGTGTGTGTGTTAAGCAAGCGTACATGCATGCGAATATACGCAACCACACGTATAGCCGGGCCTGGTGTGAAGAAAACTCGAAGACCATCTTGTCCCACAGCTTGCAGCCTACATCACATTTTGCGCAAAAAGCTTGTCTGCAAGAGGAGGTCCGTATGCTTTCCGTTGGCATCGGGAAACATTTTAAGCATCTCAAACGTTTTGAAACAACTCGAGTAAAGCAGTAAAAATGTCATAAGACTCTGCTAAAATCGGATACAGTTTAAGTAATCTTTATATGTAACCCCTGCAGCCGGCACACCCACATCCCATATCACATCCCGCATCGGCACAAACACAAACCAATGCACCCGAGGGCTTCTTCCTGGGCGTGCAGCTGCTCCCAAGGCAACCATGGACTCCGACTTTGATGAGTTTATATAAAATATGCTGAAGCATTCTTGGAATTACAAAACTATTTAATGGCGTCGCGAACGGAAGTCCCGTGGCAGTTGGAGATACGGTAATGAGCCGGCGGACCCAACACGCCACAGTTTTGCTGAGGCTGACAACAAGTCTGAGGTAGCCAGAGCCCACAGAACATCATGGCAGTTTCCTGGCACGAGGACAGAAGTGCCGGGCTATTGGTCAGTGGAAGTGTTATCGGTACATCGGCGCCATAGAAACACAGATCAGTCTAATCTGAATGTTTTAGTGACAGCACGGCAATATCAACAAGTGTTTCGAATTGTGAATGAGTAGGGGTAGCAATGGGCAGTGAGCTACGGTACTTTTCGATAAACGCAGGACAGTCGAGGCACCCAGATATCTGTGTAGGTCCTGAGCCCGTCGGTCCGACCCAAACCGATGAAATGTCCAAATGCGGCCAAGGGGCACACAGCCCCTTCAGTGTCCCGAACGCAGGGAGCCTTCCAGAGTCTCCTTGTAGTCGGGAATGAAATACTTTTGGTTCTGGTCATAAAACAGCCGTCAACAGCTGTCCGCAGGCCTATGGGGATTGAGTGGCGCATTTTGCCATTCGGCGTGTAAACGGTATTGTCAATGAACCCATGCAACCTTTCAGCAAGGTCAGGTTGACACAAGACTGGTGAAAACCATTGTATAAGCGGCATACGATGAGACGATAAATCAAATGGCGTGAAATGAAGACTTCAAACGGTGTACATAGTAACGGGATATAGTGACGGGATCTTCCGCCCGACAGCCGTCTTAGTATTGTTCACTGCAGCTCACGATTGTGGACGCATTCCAAAACAATTAATAACATATAATAAATATAATAAAACAAAATAAAAATAACAAAGAAAAAGCATTCCGGTGTGGAACAAAATCCAACTTGCAGACATTATTTGTAAACGAAACACTGTTGCATGTCAACTATTGAACGTTGCTGGTCGGTAGTAAAACGGTCAACAAACTGGAAAGTGTTGAGCGAAGCTCGGGGCTATTGGCTTCTTAACTTGATGTTGAGGTGACTTTTTCCATGGACCCATTACAAGCTTGTGGCGTGGTGACGCACGTGCTCGGTGCGCATCATGTAGCGTGTTTCTGGTTACAAAGATAAGACAGTAGTATTATCCTTATTCCTC